GCCCCCATGCCCCCCAGGAAGTGGGGTGGGGGGCCCTGCTGGCACCCACCTGAGCCCGAGAGCTCCTCCAGGACGTCGGGCATCCCCCGCTTCCTCTTCACATTCACCCCGTAGGCGTCTGTGGGGGGGGATAAGCACCAGTGTCCCCCCCACAGCGTCCCCCCCACCCCCTCAGCCTTGTCCCCGTGCTGGGAGCCTGTCCCCAGCCTGGAGAGAGCCATTCCCACCCCGCAGGCTTTGTCCCCGTTTCCACCCCGTGTCCCCATCCCAAGTGGGCTGTCCCCCCATCCCAAGGGCCACATCCCAACCCTGGGGGGTCCCCTCCCCACTGCATGTCCCAGCTTCAGGGGTCCTGTCCCCATTCCATGTCCCCGTCCTGGGGGCCTGTCTCCATCCCAACCCCGGGGGTCCTGTCCCCACTCCATGTCCTCATCCTTCAAATCCTCGTCCCCATACTGGGAACCGACATCACACCTGGTGTGTCCCCACTCGCTCTCATCCTGCTCCCAGTGGCCCCATTCCAAGTGGGCTGTCCCCATCCCAACCCTGGGGCTCCTGTCCCCGACTGCATGTCCCAACTCCAGGGCTCCTGTCCCCATCCCAACCCTGGGGGTCCTGTCCCCACTCCCTCCCATCCTGCTCCCAGTGGCCCGTCCCCATCCCAAGTGGCCCGTCCCCATCCCAAGTGGGCTGTCCCCATCCCAAGGGCCACATCCCAACTCCAGGGCTCCTGTCCCCATCCCAAACCTGGGGGTCTTGTCCCCACTCCGTGTCCCCATCCTTCAAATCCTTGTCCCCTGGGGACTGACATCACACCTGGGGTGTCCCTAGTCCCTCTCATCCCCCTCCCAGTGGCCCAGGTCCCCATCCCAAGGGCCACATCCCAACCCCAGGGCTCTTGTCCCCACTGCATGTCCCAACCCTGGGCGTCCTGTCCCCACTCCGTGTCCCCATCCTTCAAATCCTTGTCCCCTGGGGACTGATGTCACACCTGGGGTGTCCCTAGTCCCTCTCATCCCCATCCCGGTGACCCAGGTCCCCATCCCAAGGGCCACATCCCAACCCCAGGGCTCCTGTCCCCACCCCGTGTCCCCATCCTTCAAATCCTTGTCCCCTGGGGACTGATGTCACACCTGGGGTGTCCCTAGTCCCTCTCATCCCCATCCCGGTGACCCAGGTCCCCATCCCAAGGGCCACATCCCAACCCCAGGGCTCCTGTCCCCACCCCGTGTCCCCATCCTTCAAATCCTTGTCCCCTCCTGGGGACTGACGTCACACCTGGGGTGTCCCCACTCCCTCTCATCCCACTCCCAGCGGCCCAGGTCCCATCCCACGTGCCATGTCCCAACCCCAGGGCTCCTGTCCCTGTCCCTGTCCCCGCTGTGCCCCTGGCCGTGCGGTGGCCGCGCGGTACCGTGGTCGGTGGGCAGGTAGGTGAAGCGGAAGGCCTCGCTGCAGACGCTATCGGTGAGGCGCTGCAGGAAAACCTCCACCTCCACGGGCTCCGCCAGCTCCAGGTGCTGGTAGGGCGGCGTCTTGAAGACGATGGCGACCTGGCGGTGAACGTCGGCCTGCGAGAAATCCGCCCGCGCCTCCCACGTCTCCTTCCGGAAAACCACCGCGATGTCCTCTGCCGGCATTGGGAGGGGGGTGTCAGCAAGGTGGCAGGACCCCCCCCAGCTCCAGCCCTCAAAGTCACTTACCGACACTTGGGGTCCCCACTCCAGCACCCTGAGGTCACCTCTCCTGCACCCAGGTCCCCCCCTTCCTGCTCTCCACCCTGATTTAGGGTCCTCTCTCTGGTGCTGGGTCCTCCCCCTCCAGCCCAGGGGCCCTTCCCCTCCAGCAGAGGGGCTGGGAGGCTGCAGGACCCCCTTGCTCTCCTCTCCAGCACCCAGTTCCCCCCTCCAACACCCAGGGAAGGGTTAGAAGCCTGGGGAAGTTGGCAGCTCCCAGCTCCCAACCCCGTTTGGACCCATCCCCAAATTCTTCCAGCAGCTCCAGCATCCATCATTCTCCTTCACCCCCATCCTGGCTTCCCAAGGGGGTGTAATCCAGCTCCTAAAGACGCCCTCAGGGTCGCAGAGCTCCCAGCTCGTCCCCGGTACCTTTCTGGACCTTGTCGCAGAGGAGGTAGAGCTCCTCGCCACCCGTGCAGGGACCGCTCTCCTTGTTCATCCGGCAGATCCGCAGCTCCGAGGTGTTGGTGGACTCTGCGGGCAGCGCCACGGCTCAGGCTGTGACCAGGCTCGGGCAGTGGGGACATTCAGCATCGTCTCTTCCCAACCAGCCTCATGGGATGGAGGCGACAACCCCACCCCGGGCACAAGGGACAAATCCCCACTGGCCACATGGGACCAACCCCGGCCAAATACCGCAGCCCGAGCCGATCCCCAGCGAGGAACTGGATGGTGCAGCGTCACCACCCAGCCCAGGGAGGGTTCTGGGGGTCTGGTGGCCCAACCAGAGGCACAAAGTCCCACCGCCACCACCTACTCTTGTCGAAGATGGGCTCTGAGAGCACAGGGCTGAGGTGCCGTGTCTGCCCGGAACCGTCCTTGTAGGAGGCCTGGAAGCAGATCCTCACCACGTTCATGTCCACCTCCTGATGGTTCTTGAGGGAACCGGCTTGGGGAGAGGAGAGGGGATAGTCAGTGGCCCCACATGGAAGGGCTGGGGACATCCCCACGGGACCCGGATCCCCTGCAGCGACAGGGTCTCAGCCCCCAAAACTGGCTCTGCTTGAGCCCCCACCTTTGAAGGGGTCAATGCCCAACTGCAGCTTCTTCTCTATCGCCGCCTCGATCTCCTTCTTCTTCACACACTGGATACCCAGGTTGCTAAAGCTGCCGGGGAGCAGAGACACGCTGGGGAGGCAGCTCCCCCCATCCAAAACCCCCAAGGACCCAGGTGTCCTGTCCCTCCCAGCCTCCCACTTCCCAGGGAAATCCCCCCAAAACCTGTCCTTGGCACGAGCTGATGCCCGCATCCCCATGCGAGGTCCCCGATGCCGCCCAGCACAGCTCCCTGCCTGCAGGCTCACCCTGGCATTGCCTACCTGTGCTTGGGGTTGGTCTGGGGCTTGAGGACGACCTCGCAGAGCCCGTTGCTGCAGTCCTTGCCCACCAGGCCGTGGGGGTGGACGCGATAGGGCCAGTCCTTCCACACCAGGCACGCCGTCACCTTCACCTCGGGGATGGCCTGGCAGTTCAGCAGCTGGGGAGACACGAGCCCGTGACACCCACGCGGCTCTGGCAGCGTCCTGTCCAGCACCCACGGGGCTCTGGCAGCCCCCCAAAACTCTTCTGCCACCCCCCAAAAGCCTCAGCTTGCCCATGCTGGGCTGCCTCTGAGCTGCTCACCTCAATGGCCGGCAGCGTCTTGCTGGCGTCGGTGCTGCTCTCGCCCAGGATGCTGCCGGCCGAGCGGCCCTCGCACTCATAGCGGAATCGCATGCCCCGCTGCTTGGGCTGCTCCGTGATCACCAGCTTGGGCGGCTCCAGCAGCTCCTCCAGCTGGTCCTTGCTCTGCCCGGTGGCCGGAGACCAGCGATGACGCCCGCCGGTGCCCGTTGTGCCCCGCGGCACCAGCTTGGGCGACAGCGAGAGGGTGCTGAGGCTCTGGGCGAGCTGGGGTGACCGCGTGTCGGCCGGCAGCACCACGGACCCGTACGGCGCCAGCCCGGCGGCCAGAGGGGGCCGAGGGGCCACCACGGGGCTGGAGCCACGAGCCACCAGCTTGGCTGAGCCTTTGGGCAGCGCTTTAGGCAAGACAGGGGCCGGATCCAGCTGGAAACCATCCTCCTTCATAACCTCTTCGATGATCTCTGCAGGATGAGC